GTCAGGTGCCCGCGGCCCCTAAAGCAGGGGTCCCCAAGCTCTGTGAGGACCCAGGCCGCACAGCAGGAGGTGAGCGGCGGGCTTGCGGGCAAAGCTGCGTCTTTGTCTGCAGCCACTTTCCAGCGCCAGCATCGCCGCCTCAGCTCCGCCTCAGATCATCAGGCATTAAAGATTCTCGTAGGAGCCCCGGTCCCTGGTGCCACAAAGGTCAGGGACCACTGTCCTGAAGAACAGGTAGGGACAGAGAAGTACCTTGCCAGTGGCCCTTTCTTATCACCGCTGTGACGTAAGGTTGAAAGACAGGGAAGAGATGCAAAGCGGCTCACAGACCGTTGCCCGTAACCACCTTCCCTACCTCCTCCCTCTGGATGTCGCTCAGCTACAGCACAGCGATGGGTCTCCGCCACAGCACGGCGGGCAGGCCTGACCTCACATGCAAGAGTAAGGTCCGACTCGGGCTCAGGTGCGGGAGGCAGGCGGGGGGTGGGGGTGGCCTTCATGGAAGCAATCAAGGCCTTGGACATTGAGTACCAACTGAGGCCAGCGAGCCTCATTGTCCAGCATTCCAAGTCATGTAGCGATGTGCTGCCATTTGCCGCGCAGAGAACAGCGGATCCCCCAGCAGAATGAATGGAATCCGATTTCATTTACGTTGAGGACAGTCACCCTCTTCAGACCAGAACACCTGGTGCAGCTTGAGCCACTGCGGCCCCAGGCACGGCACAGCACCCAGGAGGCCAGTGGGAATGCGCCTTCCCTTCCTCACGCGCATGCCACATGGGTCCATAGGAGGAGGACGTGGAAATACCAGCCAGGTTCTCACTGGCGCTTCTCGGAGAAGGGCAGTTACTTCACGGCGATGGGTTCTCGCCACAGTCCCCTCCCGCCGATCCCCCGAGAGCTGAGTCATGGGCGGGAGAGTTGAGCCGATAGCGTACCTCACTCGCGGCCCCTCCATCTTTTAGAAAAACTCGTGGATTCATCTGTGTCAAATTCTTTGGATTCTTTTCTGTTTATCAAAAGCATGAACAGGGCATGACAAATTGGACAGCTGCCTGCAGAGAACAGTTTAGATTCCAAGTGCTATTCCATAGACCTTTCTGGATGATGGAGTGCCGTCCAGTGTCGCCACATGTGGCTTTCGAGCACTTGAAATGTGGCCAGCGAGACTAAGGAATGATATTTTTAATCTTCTCTAATCTTGATTAATTTAAATGTAAGTAGCCACGCATGGCTAGTGGCTACTGTGTTGGACCGTGCAACTCTAGAAGGAGCTCAGAGAGGCAGGTACTGAGAGAGACTCAAAACCAGTCAGTCGAAGAGAGCCGATGCGGCATGGTGACCTCGCGCTCTGGCCTCAGCCCCCCTCCCCCATCTTCGACTTGAAAGGTTGGATTAATGTCAGAAGTCCCAAAATTGTGGCTAAGGACCGAATTCAATTTTGGGATACGGAAGAGTTTCAGGGAAAAATTTTAAATATTATATGAATGCCTTTTAGGAGTGTATGCCGAGTGCATGCGCACACGGCAGGGGCAGGAAGGAATTCCCTTCCAGTTCACAAGACTGCCCACCATTCTCCTGTGTGTGTGTGTGCACGCACACACACACTCACACACTCACACCACTGTATTACCTGTGTAGACTCTGAAAGCGTATGCATCTGTGACCCCCCCGGAGGAGATGAGTTTTAAGGACCCTTCGTGCTCCGTTACACTGTGAGCATCTAGGCCAGTCCTCGTTCCCCGGACCTGTTTCTGTTTCAGACTCATGAGGAGAGTATTGTCACAGCCTCCTGCCTCTACCCTTCTGGATTCGATGCTAGCAACCAAAGTTTGGAGTAAAGGCGGAGAACAGAAAGCAGGAAAGGTCTAACCGCAGCCGCACTCCCCAACTCTGCCATTAAGGCTAGGAGCAAGGGTCAGGGCTTTGGGCAGCGGGATCCAGTAGAAAGGACATCACAGCTTAGTGGTCAGCAGGCCAGGTTCAGGTTCAGGTTCTTAGGTGCCCTTTCTTGCTAGCCGTGTTAGCCTCAGTTTACTCACTTGGCACAAGTGCAGGGGGGAGGATATTCGTAACCCCCTGAGATCTCTGTGGCATAAACGATGCAGTGTCTTCCGGAAGTGAGGTGCACAGAAGGCCCTGAAATAGTTATCATCATTTCTCTTCACTCCTTCAGGCACAGGGCTCATGACATCGCCGTCCACTCCCGGGCTTCAAGGGGGACTGCGTGGTCTCGCAACTCCTGACCTCGAGGCCAGAAAGTGCCCGTGATGGGGAACAGGGGCTCTGTCTCTAGCAATGGTCCCAGGAGAGCAGATCCCCTAGGCGCCACCAGTTTACAGAGCTGCCTCTAAGAGTCCGTGTTAGCAGCGGGTTCACCAGACGACAGCATATCGTGCGGACCAGGCCTCCAGCTGCGGGAGGAGAGGAGCTTCGCCTGGACCTTGCCTTCTAGCCTGTTCTCTGGGTGGGACGTGGGAGTTGGCAGCGGGTGTACATATCTCCTTGTTACTGCCTGTGCCCGCGCCCCACGGGAATGTTTGCCGGACAAGGCCATCGCGCTCCCGGCTGGCCTTCCAGGCTCCCTTGTCGTTTCACTCTGAGCGCTTCTCTGTGGTCCCCTTGCGCCAGCAGCCCCACCGTCATTCTCTCCTGTACCCGAGCTGTGGGTCCGAACTCGCGATCCATTGTCACATTGCCTGGAGTTTGCACTGCAGGACTCACTTCTCTCATACCTGAAAGTTCCAGAAACAGAGCAGCAGCAGCTTTTGTTGCATTTGTCCATTTAAATGGAGTGATCCACTTCAGCCTTTGTTTTATACCTTTTTAAATTTATTATTACTATTTTAAAGGGATTACAGACAAAGTGGTTTATGGTCTGCCTGGGGCATCTGCTTAGACTGGCCCTCAGAGTTATGACTTTTTCAATTATTTATATTTCTGCCAACGTAAACGGTAGGGAAGTAAACATCGGGGCCTCTAAATCGTATGTGCGAGCAGGGGGGGTTGGTTCTTAAAGTCTGAGTTTTGGATTATCGTTGTTTTAAATAATGTTATTTCTCTCATCGTTTCTAGTGGCTGCTTGCTAGCGTGGTTTCTATTTTACAGACAGATCAGAAGCAAGGACATTCTATTATATCTTTGATACTGTTGGGGATTTCAGCCCTTCAGCTTCCCCCCCCCACCCCCGCCAAAAAAAAAAAGGAAAATAGGAAAATCAACGTGTGCGTTACAGTGCGCGCGCACTATGGGTGCGGTGCCTGACAGCGTCAGATGGTGTCACGGTGTCACAGTGTTCGGTGGGAGATGGCGCAGCGCTGGCCAGTTTCCATTTCTTCAACACAAAGTGCGATAATGGAATTTGGTAGCGTGAGGATGGGACGGGACATTGAAATCTGTTTGAAAAACCTCATTGCCATCCGATGCCCGATGCTCGAGTTCTTACCCAGCATGCATCTCGTGTCTGCTTGATCATCCGCAACGACATACTTCAGAGAGCGTTAACCATCAGAGTGTGTGGGTGTGTAGAGAGACGGACAGAAAGGGGAGAGAGACAGAGGGAGGGGGAAAGATGGGGACAGGGAGAGAGAAAACTAAACCCCACGTCACTGTACTGGTCGGTACCCTAGGGACTCAAAACCTAAGTCTAGCTCTTCAA